TCCACTTCTTGGGAGATCGTTCATTCCCCACTAGGTAAATGTATTCAAACGCGATGGAAATGTTTGTGATAACCGTCAAAGTCCACTGGACAGCTGCTTCATTCTGTTTGGGACTCGTCAACAGTGCGTACGTTTTGTGTCTCTGTCAGGACTGGGACCGCAAACTTTTAGGGTTGGAACTTGAAATCTTTACCCCTGAGGTACTCGGTCGATGATCATCACCTTGTGCGAATGGCTCAATCAAATTTACAGTAACAAGCTTGGATTAGCCCATTTGATTGCTCAGAGGTACACGACACTGCCGATGAATCCTAAACAGGACGGAACAGCTGTCCAGCGCTCTTTGTCGGTTATCGCAAACATTTCCTTTCGATATCATACTGAAACTTCGTTTTAAAAAACAAAACAACAACGAAGTGCAACCGGTGGGAGGTGTTCCAATTTTGAGTTATTTAAATTCATTGAGCTATTATCGGTTCTTTCATGCACGCTCCAAATCGCACCTTCCATTAATAAGTTGCAATTCCCTCGGATTGTGAAGGCAAAACCAAAAGAAGACATACGTGAGTTCGCATTTTGTCTAACCTCATCAAGCGCTAACGTAAAACAAGTAGGTATATGCATAGCACCCAGTCGGATCGATAACACTACTGGATCACTTCCGACCAAAAGAATCAAAGTGTACGACAAATCTCAGAATGCTCCAAGTGGGCAAGATGACTCTGGCACAGTGGTGAAATGACCATGAATCTTTCTGTAACCAAAATGATTGGAATAGTGCAGCACAGCAGCAAATTTCAAGTAGACAAGAAATAACATAAAAACCACCTCAGTGAAAGTGCTATTGAGAGAAAATTACCGACAGCGAAGTGGGTAGATACTGTAAAACCACAACAAGTACTTCAAGCCAATGTGGACGGAAATACCTCGAATGGCAACCCCTTCTAAATTTCAAAATCTCGAGATCCCTTTCCGATCACAATTTCCCTTTGTGGTTGCTGGGGATTTTCAAATCCATTCGAAGGTCTTTATTAATATCTCGTTTTTTGAGAGATTGTTTTTAAATCACAAGATAATTAATAAACTTGCCAGTATCCTTACAAAACTTGTACTTAATGGATGGGGATTCACCAATGATTCTCATCATACGACCGTTGGGATTTTATGTAATTGCATTTCTTCAGGTAGTTTTCCATCTCGTGAATACTTGACAGAACTAATACATTCTTTGGAGTTTTGAAGGAGCAGGACACAAACCGATAGATGGCCTAGTCCTGCTAGGTCCATTGGACCCATAAATTGTTAGCAATGATTCAACAAATACTCATCGATGCAACCGTTATTAGTAGGATGTTTCTGTTCGTACGAGACAAGAACATTGTTCATCCGTTTCGGAACAAGTTAACTCTGTCACTCCCTGATTAATCGATGATTAATCGATACCCATAGGTTAGAAAGCAGCAATTACTTAGAATGTTTGTTTGGATATGTGAATCACGAGGAGCCTAGATGAATCATTGCAACGTTTTATTCCCCAAAATGTAACATAGAGCTGTCAGGATTTATAGTTTTCCAGCTTCTCACGTTTGATTTACAAGCGTGGATTTTTAATAAGTCTGCTCCATCGAACATTTGTATTTGTTACCCAAATGCGACACCGAAATATTGTCGAAACAATCGGTTCTTTGGTCGACGAGTTGCCACTATACTTCCAATTTTATTGACATCCGTTTATCAGTACACGTCCGTTCAATGGGGTTTGCTGACCCAATGTGCTACACATATGCCTGTGCAGTTTACACCAGTGATTGACGATACTGGACAACGAATGGCCCCGTGATATGTGCTTTTTTTCGGTCTTGATGCGATGAACAGCGGGGACGTGAACTTAACCAATCAACAAAGACCATTGTAGAGAGCTTATCACTGATTTCATCCAAATACCTCAGTTTGATCGACAGTAGGTGATTAGAGGTCTTGCACCTCGCCATATGCTCCCATACGACCAAGCATCTCAAATAGCCTCCGCTGAGGAAAACCTACTCACTGCCTTCTCCTGGCGGAGATGTTACCTCACCAAACTACGAGGAAGAAAAGCTGATATCCGAGGCTATAACCGGGTTGGTGGACCACTGGTAGTTTACTTAGGGGAGGCAGCCAAAACCCCTGATTTCAAACCAACCAAGGAGGTGTACGAACCACATACACAGATTCCTGATTGTGGCATTGGTCTCCGGCTCAATTGGGCATCGAGGTGTACTGTGCACTTTGGACGTTTGACCCCTTTCAAAGGGCGAATGATCCGATGAACTGGACACCGGCTTCAATAGATTCCGGGTTTTGCACACCACAGCGCTGTTTTGCGGGTCAGATCTTGGCTGGCCAAAGGCTCCGGTTGTGGATTTCTCAAGCAAATTCACTTACATTAGCCTGGACAACCTAGCAGTGTCCGACTCACATGCAAATAGTAGAGCGCTTTTCTTTTTTCTAAAGATTGTCATACTATGATTTGTTTGACAGTGTGTAAAAATGTGAAATAGAAAATTTAAAGAAATCCTCATTTTTATGCTAATCCCTAACTCAGGTGATTGTCTATTTGCGGGGAATGATCATTATCTAATCTGAAAAATATTTTTGTAGATCCCAATAATGTCGTTTTAAATTTCGAAATCAAGACAAGAATAATCTAACCTTCTTAGAAGCTAAATTGGGAAGGTGTAATTGCCCAAAAGAGCATTATCAATCACAGAGATTGATTGATCGAATGCCAATAGAATTCCCCGTTTCACCATGAACAAATCAAAGTTGAGTGGAACTGAATTTCTGAAAGGGGCCGTACTGACTTTTGTTGAGCGGCTTGGTTTTAAGCCGAACAACATCAAGTGATCAGGTTCGTCATCTCATCGACCCGGAGTTTGATAATTCCAATCCTACACCCGCAAGCCAACCTTTCACCGATGCGGGACCTAAATTGTTGCTTGCAGCCCAATACCATCCTAAAGTTTGCCCGTACAATTGTAAGAGGATGTGAACTGATTCCCATTGTTCTCATTCGGTGTGCTTATTTGCGGCTCAAACACTTGTAAGGCCAAAACACTAAGAGTCACAAGTAATATATTACGAGTAAACATTCTACCTATACCCGTTACCCAGATTTTTTGAAAGATTCAACCTGTTCACAGGTGACAGATGACCAGCTTGGCATCCGGCAGCTTTTGTGATGTGTTTACATCGACCTGTGCACGCATATATTTCACCTTAATCCTTAACTGACATTGGTTGAAACTGACCATCCTTTAGATTTCACGTTTACGCACATTCCTCAGCTCTTCCAGTCAACCATAAACTCGGAGGCACTGTAGACTTGAGTTTCTTTCTTATTAGAGTTCATTAGTAGTGCATACACACCGTCCCGTCCGGACGGNCCGGACGGTGAACTCCGGACCCATCGTACGGAACGCGCCTGTGTATGTTATCACTGTGCCAACCATCTCCTGCCAGGGCGGAACAGAATTGCAATTCAAATCTGTTTAGATGTCGTCTTCAGAGGTAGTCAGTCAATTCAATTTGGCTCAACAGCAAAGAAAAGAGACAGCTGAATATCTGGTAAATCCAATCGAAAGACTCCCACCAAATCAGATATTACGTGCTGATGATTGTGGGCTGATAGGCCACGAACCTACCAGGCTGGGTTGGCCTTTCGCATTTAACTCACACTT